TTCAGTTATTGTTACTTTCTTTTTTTGACTTCGGTTCAGAGGGACGTCTGTGTACAAGTGGATTAAAGCTGATAAAAAGTGAGAGAAGAGCTTTGAACACTTGTAGAGACACATGCACTAGACGCATGTTAGTTTTCATTAGTAGAGACTTCACGTTGACTTACGTTCATTTCCTGGAGACCTATCTTAACCTCACCCTAACTTTACCTTACCCTAACCTTAAGCCTAGTTGTCGCTCCATTGGCGGCTGTGGCTCAGGAGGTAGAGCAGTCGTCCCCCAACTGGAGAGTTGGCGGTTCGATTCCCCTTCCTCACAGTCCACCTTTCAAAGTGTCGTTAGGCAAGACACTGAACCCCAAGTTGCTCGTCATCTTTCGATCTGTGTGTGAGTTGGTTTATAATGTAAATTGGGTAGAAAGTGAATTTTCTACAGGAGATTAATAAAGTATTAGGATTACACTGTTATTTTTTTGTATTAATCTGGTTTTGAAAAGCAACTAAAGTTATAAAATGAATATAATAGAGTAAATAATATTTGCCTCTAACATAGTGGAGTTGAAGTATGAAGCGGCACAAAATGACAATACTCGAGTCAGTGAGTAATCGTGTTAAATGATCGTGATTGGCCAAAATAATGGTGGTTGTGATTTTTGCCATAATCGCTCGGCCCTGTTGTAAAGTATTACAGGATTTTGGTTTAGTTAATTGATATAACATCCCCAAAGTAAAAAAAAAAAAAAAAAATTCAATAAGTTAGCCCTTTTCCTGAAGTGTAAAATGTTAAGTTAAAAGTCAAAAGCAAGAAGGTTTCAGTATATTCCTTCTGTGCGATCTAAGCCTTCAGGCTGTTATTCACACAGTTTCACACAGTAATCAACACCCGCTTCTCTGTGTTCACGTCCTCTGGTTTCCTGAGGGACGCCCAGGCCTGCTGATTGGTTGTCACCCTTTTCTGAGAATGTGTGTGAGATGACGAGTGGCAGCAGTTCTCCTGTGGCCGGGTCGGGACTTGTCAACAAAGCTCAGCAACTAGCTTTGACTTTGGGCTGTTTCATAGCTCACAGATCCACAGTTCACTCAACAAAACATTCAACAGAAACAGCGAGGGTGCGGTGGGAGCAGCTGTCAGTCAGAGCTGCGCCCTCTGATGTTTCTACTCAAACATATTCACTTACATTGATCAGACAAAGGAAACACAGACTAAAACTCATGCTTTTTGTTTACTTGTCATTTCTGTTGGGCCAAAGCTTTTTTTTAACAGAAAGGAAAAGAAATAAAGACAGTTGGAAATCAAAGCAATGAGCACCAAGGCCATTTCTGTCCTACAGTTTCTTTTTTGTCTCCAGCATGACTCTATTTGTTTGTGTTAGCTTGACACCCATTGTCTTTACTTAAAATTCAAAGAATCTGACATTTCTGAAAAATATCTTTCAGCAATTAGATGAAGCCGCGCAGAACATTTGTCTCTTATCAACATTCCTCCTGACCAACAGTTTTTAGTTACAAATTCCTCATTGCAGTGTGCCCGTCTACACACATTGTGCTCAAATGATCTCATATACTTTAGTAAAAAACAATTTAATGCAGATGATTTCAGCAACTGTGACTGGGTTGAAGTAATTGGACGATATGAAACTTTTTTCCCCCGTGGGTAAACACAGCTTCTGGAAGAATGAGAGTTGAGTGTTTATACAAACATAATCTTCTGATAATTGCAACTTTATGACGTTTTAAGAGAAAAATAACAATGGAACTATGCAAATGCTATTAAGGAGGTGTCCACATTTGGATTAGCAGGAGATGCATGTGCTGTACAACGTGTAATATTAGATATCCTAGGAGTTTTATTGGACTTGGTGCTGTTGGTTTTAACAACCACATCCTACCTACTGTGTGTTGATGATTATCAATGATTAGTTCTACTTTTCAGATCAGGATTCGGAGGCCTGAACACAGTTGTGACTGAGCTGAACTAATTATCATGTAATAACATCCACATGTGCTGTAGAAGCCCATGTGGTTGTGAGTTCTTCTTCTATGGTGTCCTCAGGGAGCAGCCCGGGAGACAGTGAGTGTTTGCTGACTCAGCTATTCTGGCTGAACGGAGCTTTAATAAGGGACGAGTGGAGGACGCTGACAGTTACAGACAGGAAGTTTTACATAGACGTGCATATAAAATGCACAGTCGCAGAGACACAACCTGTCTTACTGCCCTCTTCCATGTGTCTCACACCCATGCGCACACCCACTTTGCTTCTCATCTGTTTTACTTAAACCTCCTTCTTAAGCCTTTCCTCCTCTTCTACTTCCTTCCTCTTCTCCATTCATTCCTTCATGCACTCTCCCTATGCGTCTCTCAATACAAACACACACTTTCACGCTCCAACTAGAACCATCACATCTGCCCTCTGACCTTTATTACCCTTATTACTGTGTGTACACATTAGCCCCAGGCTGCAGTGAGCTCTAATTTGAAATAAATGTGTGCACATTTATGTAAAGAGGCTAATGGGAAAAATGACTCTTGAGGTCCGTAAATGTATGTAAGTGTTTGGGTGCGTGTGTGTGCTCTCGAGAGCCTGTTCCTTTCACCAGGGAGTCTGCCCAGTGTGATATAAAGCTCCACAGCTCTCAGACTAAATGTGGCTGAAATGAAGGCTTAATGTGCTGGAAAACTAGTAGCTGGATTTGAATGGGGTGTGTGTGTGTGTGTGTGTGTGTGTGTGTGTTTTAATGGATTGTGTGGATGTCTCTCTCTCTCTCTCTAGATGTAATTGTATGTGTGAATGCATCTCTTTATATTTGGGCATATTTCTGTGGATATGTGGTGTGTGTGTTTATGAAGTATGAGAGTGAATGGTCTCCAAATGTGTTTGCATTTAGCTCTTTTTATCTTTATTTTATCTCATACCTGCTCAAGAGGCTGTTTAGAACATGCAGACAATGTCTGTGCGGTGGTTCTCTCTCTTATACATGTAAAAATATATTTGCAGTATGTTAAAAACACGCCTTTCAAAGCAGGATTTGGTCTCACATCCTGTAGTTTTATGAGTTCTAATCCTGCTAATTGATTCTTCTGAGTCTGTAGGTAATGCAGTAACCGTGTGCTAAGCATTATAATTAATTTAACATTCAGTGAGTAGGATCATTGCAGCAATAGAAGCACAATGCGTCCAGCATATTGATCAATCTCATGAATTTTTGAATTTGAAGTAGTTAGTAGAGGGGTTGAATGTGCTACTGTTTGCTGACTGAGGTGTAATGTGTAACTGAGGAGGTCCCAGGCTGTGCGTTCTCTGTAGAGCACTGCACTGGTCTAGTATTGCACCTGAAAAAAGGTAGGGGACTCACAAGAGTCAGATGCAAAATGAAACAAAGCTTTCTGTGGACTGTAAAGGAGGCATCAAAAAGATATTTCTCCAAGTGGTGCTGTATATCATGCCATGAGGTGTTTGGTCAAGTTGTCTTTAAAGTTCAGGTTTTTTTTTTGGTCGGGATCATGTAGACACACCCAGATGAACTGGTGTGTTACTTTGAAGATGTTTGTGCTGTTGAACATCCGTGCAGGTTTTTAATGTGGCTGAGATGTTGCGGTGTGGGAGGGGACCTTTGAGCAGGGGCATTATCACACTCCTGCCTTTACATGAGATCTCACCATGAAGGGACTGTTGGATCACATCCTCTAAATTGGCAAATGTTGGCTGGATTTCTCATTTTCTCCTCAGCTAACTGAGACCAGCTGAACACACATGTGGACCTGCTGGGAGCCGTGGAGAGGCGGCATGGATCTCATTTTTAATCTAATAAAGGCACTCAGTAGAGGCTGGGATTAATTATATCTGAGGGAGAAGAACAAAATGTGGAGGGATATTGAGGAAGCATTTTGAATGAACAGAGAATGTGATTGGTTGTAATGAGCACCTCATTGTAATAAATCATCCCCGTATTCGTTTGGAACATGTGGTCCCCATGCATTTTTTTTTAAATCTCTGTGCCAATGTCAGAAAACTGCCTCTTTCATTTATTGTTCTCCATATGATTGCAGTAATGATTTTGGGTGGGGTGGCCAGGCTGGGGCACAGACTCAGAGGGATGGCACGTCTGAAATGCATGTAAAAAGTAAACCCGTAGCTCTATGAAAGAATAAACCATGCATTATTAAGAATCACATTGTTTCGTGTTTATGTAAAAATGAGACACAAATTCTTGGGGGACCCAATGTGGTCTGTTTAACAAGATGACTCTAATCTTAAAGTCTCAATCTTAAAGTTCCTTTTCTAAGGTTTTTAGAATCATCATCTGTTGCTAGGTAATGTCTAAACTGATCAGTAATGAGTGTGCCTTTTTTTTTTTTTTTGCTTTTGACCTGATTCCCCACAAATCATGTAGATGTCTATGGAGAATTTATTCTCTTGCACAAAGTCTCAAATGCAGAGGAAAACCTCTCACATTTATGTGTTGAAAAGATCTTCCCCATATCACTTGTTTATAAAAACACTTGTCTGGGAGAAAAGAGTATGTAACACAAAGCCAACATGCTGCTTAACCTATTGGGGGTTTATACAACAACCTCTCAGAGAAAAACAAGTATTTTCTCCACAAATCAAATGTACCTGCTGGTATTTTCTTCTTCTACACCTCTGTTCCTTTCCTGTTTAAATCTGTTCAGGGTATTTATGCTCCCTTATTTGTTGCAGTTTTTCTCATATCTAATCCACTTTCTTCTCATTGTTTATATTCATCTGTCTGTTTACTTTTCTTTCTTTTTCCAAGTGTAATGTTCTCCCATAATTCCAGAGTATCCCACAGTTTTCATGGTTTGGGTTATAAGTGTTTTTCTTATCCAATACAAAGTAAACCATTTTTAAATATACAACTTTGTGTGTCGCTGCTTCATCTCGGTTTGATAACTGACTTTTTGTTATATGCATTTACTCTAATGCAAAGCAACATGTCTTACCATCTTGTGCTGTCTCCTCTGTTCTTCCTTCCTCGTCCAGTTGATAGCCGTGTACGATGAACAGGAGCCGCATCATGGAGGCGATGGTACCAGTGCCAGCTCCACTGGGACTCAGAGCCCTGACCTGTTTGCTGCAGACCTCAGCGCTGGCAGCGGAGCCTCTGCCTTCCAGCCCTACCAGGCTGCCAGTGAGATTGAGGTCACACCCTCCGCCCTGCGCACCAGTAAGTCCCGACACTGAAGCTGCTCAAGGGAAAAATCTGGCATACAGGAAGCTAGGTCAAAAGCCTTGGGTGGTTTGTAGATCAATAGAGGGATCATTATCTTAAGATACAGGCAGGGATTAAAACATTTACTTGACTTATTATTAATAATGGACTCGGTTCACCTTACAGTACATTCCTCTTAAATGACCAGTGTGTTGTCTTCATCGGCATCAAAATAAGGAACTGCAGCAGTATACAGCAAACCCAACAAATTACCTTATCACAGCCCAGCGGTACCTTAGCCCTGTCCATAAATCCTGTTAATTGGACAGGAGGTCCTTTTTCAGGCACAGTTGGCTATTTGATCCCTGGCCAAAGTGGCTAATTGGTTCTATTCGCTGCCTCCTAAATCAAATGTGACGCTGAGCCCATTCACCTCTGCAGTTTTGCCAGCCAAGTCACTTCTTCTACTGTAATTACTGTGAGTTTGGATGGGAGGCTGACTCTTGTAGGTGATTTGTCAGTTGGATAAAGCAAAAAGCCTTTGTAAAGCAACCATAAGCAGAAGCAAACAAGCATGAACACACAGATACTCTTGTCGTCTCACTGTTGCTGTCTCTAAAACTTCTGGCATCCCGTCTTTCTCTGGATCTGTATTTATCAACCATTAAATTGAATGTGCTCTTACACAGATGAAGCTCAAGGAGCCTCAGAATAGAGTCATTTTAGATGAACACTGTAGCTGGTATCTGTGTCAGCAGCGGGCTCTGTCCATGCATCTTTTGTCTACATTATAAGTGCACCTTATTATAGGTTTTCACTGATGCACCCACTTCACTGGGAACAATTCTTCTCCAGTGCTTTCATTTCCATTTTGTCCAATTTTCTGTAATTTCTTCTTTTTTTATATGTTTGAAGGCTGATTCATAATAACATATTAGTGGACGTAATTTTTTTCTTATTCAACAAATGAATAATGGGGCAAAACAGGTCATATTCTTGCATCTGATTGGCTGTTATTCTTTGAGCTCACAATACATGCGATATGTGACATTGATCACTTGAGAGCTGCTCTTAAAGGCTGCACTTCAAACACCTGAAAGTGCTGATTTGAGGTGGGTGGACATGGTTTCCACTCCATTTCCACTTATGTCAACTTCAACAGCTTTTGCAGCAAGTCAACAAAATTCCACATGTACCAACAGCACACAGTACAGAATAGTAGGCACAGATTTTTACATGACTTGTAGGCACCGCGCCATCTCCGTCAGCACTGTAAAAGATTAAAAAGTTCACTACAGCATCTGTTTACAGTTGTCGGATATTCAGCTGATGGATATTCAACATCAGCACCTGCTGCCTCTGTTTTCCTCTGTTTTATTAAAGGTTATTCCTACTGTACACTTTGCTTTAAAGTGAGTCCTTCGACAAGTGTGAAAGTTTATGGTCTTATACAAAAGAACATTTTGAAATCATTAAGTACAGTTCTCATAACTTTATGGACCATGACCATATTTGTTCTCTCTCATGTATGGACCATGACCATATTTGTTCTCTCCCTGTTTCTCTGAACGCACGCACAAACGCACGCACACACACACGCACACACACACACGCATGCACTCACGCACACATTAACAGCCACTTGTACTCGCACACACTCAATGAACAAAAAAATATAATTAGCTCTAAAAATACCACACTGGTTGGAGTACGGCTTATCCACTAATGACCTGTGAACTGGCGTTGATTGACATAGCAGACCACTAAATTTCCTTTTCTTTCCCT